ATTGATTTAACACAACAACTTGAAACAAGAAACATATTGGACGAACAAAAAATCAATAAACAGTAAAAGTGTGTGTTTTACTCCATGGCAAAATATATAACTAAAAACCAAAATGTACAGGTGCTGTACGTGATAGACGCCGTATTTATTTATATTTCAAATAACGTCCAACAGTATAGACATATATAATGTATTCTAAATCAATGTGTCAATACGGTGTATTCTCTAATATCTCTGAATTTACCCGTCATAGACAGTCAAGGCCGCCCAGGAAAAACCAATGAAATCATGATCTATATATCAATATGAATAGAAACCTGTATCCGATGCCAACGCTCAAGCCTATCTCAGGATAAAAGTGTCGGACTACACCGTTAACTAGCAAATACGTATATAAATAAAAAAAATCAAAGTTTAATTACGATTAGCAATTATTAAAAGGAGCTTACTATGTTAAACGACGACTAGAAAGTGAAGTGCTTGAAAAACACCAAGCATAGCGTAATACAAAATTATACATCCTGATTGGTCGATGTGAATATTTATGATAAGTGTAACGACAATACAATATTTAACCGCTTTACTATTCGACTAGTGTCAAGTGGATTATATACTGATAAGACGACTTTTCCTTTTACATATATTTTGTATTTTCGTTTCCTCGACATGAGAGTTCTTTAAGATTTTCCTTATACTAGTGTACATAAAATATTTGTGATTATTCGCATTGGTTAATTTTAGCGGGGTTTTCTATGGTAAATCCTGTTTACTTTGTTTTATTACTTGTCTTGTTCCTGTCTCTTACCTCGTTTATATTGACGTCAAGATATCTTCCGATATTTTGTGTATGTTGAATATTATCGTATTGTCGTTTACCTTAAACGTCCTTGTGTATAAATCATAGAATGTTTTGTTTCGAAGGATTCTAACAAGTTTTAAAAAGCCTTAACTTAAACAATGAAAAGCGTATGAATGAAAAGAAGCTAGCATTATCCTTTAACATTCCTTTCTGCTATAATATATATTATATGGAATGTATATCTCCCACTTGATACGATATTCCAGGGCTTGCGTTTCCTATCATGATTTCCTTCATAGAGGATTGCTGCTCACAAGGTGAAGTTGTTTAATAGCGACTTTGTAAGCAGCAACCCTCTATCAAAGAAAGCACGATAGAAAACGTAAGCGTTGGAATGTCGTAACCTACTTGGATATATTTGCTTAAATGAAAAGCTCAAATAATCATTTTTGTCGTACAGTTTTATTCTAAAACGAATTTAAAATATCTTTTAAAACTTTTACAACTTGGAAACAATGGTTCAATTGCTTCCTTGTAAGCGGCAACTCTCGTTTAAAGAAATCGTGAGAAGAAACGCTTGTAGTGTCAAAATGTATACGCCATAGTTAGTCAGGCGCTGCTGGAATGTTGGTGCATAAAAATAAAAATTTTATAATTTGAAAGCTGAAATCATCCTTTCAGTCGTGCAGTTTTGATCTCAACCGACTTGATATGAAGTATTAAATGTTGAAGTTTGAGGCACGTTTAATAACATATTGCTATTATTCTGAATATCAATAGTATCATTAGCCACATCTCTACGTCAAAACATGTCATAGAATCAGACTAAACGAAAACAAATTGGACTTTGAAAAGGCAGAGTTTAGAGGCAATACCAATTTTTATTCCTCAGTTCTTCTGAGTCTTTATTGTATAATTGTAAAGTCTATTCCATTGTTATCAAATGCCAATCGATCGAAAGGATGTTATTCAAAAGTTTCTTAGAGAAGAACTTTGATTTATACCCAAAGGTTTATAAATCTTGTTTTGCTGATCATTTTGGCTCTTTACAGTTTCTTCTTTTTTATAGATAAAGTTTTCAAGATAAGATCCAAAAACACATACAAAGAGAGTACAAATCATCATTTCAGTACAAAAACTGATATAAGGAGTAAAATTACAATCCGAACATTTGAAAACATTGATATAAAATGGTAATCTGATCAGTTTGAGGACATTGTTGTTTGACTTCATCTTTTAATTTTCGAGATATAAACAAACTTTGACTCCTTGCATTCTATTCTTACAACAGAGATACAGTAAAGAGATAAATCAAATTCCCAGAAAAAATTTATAAACAAGATGCCCAAAGTAACAAACATATAAGGTTCGGTGACATTCGAAGGTTAAATCCGAACAATGACGACGGACGGGTAGTGATTTCACAATCTTACATTAAATTATTGCTCAATGTGACTTTAAAATCGAGAAATACCAGTTGCGATTGTTACAATGCATATTATTGTCACAGCACACTTTATTACCAAACAGATGTATTTTGCAGTGTTACCGTCAATTTTATGTTTTACACATTCCAATTAGATTCTGAACTTGCTAAAATGGCATATAAAACAAAAGGAAACGATGCCATTGTGCTTTTATATTTCTGATGTCATGCTTCTTTTCATTTGTTTGTCACTTTTAATGAATACTCATACTTTAGAAATAATTCCTCACATTAATGGGAGATAACTGTTCTTCATTTATCAGAATTTTGTGGATAACTGTTGTTGTAATTTACAATTATAGTTTATTCACTGAAACTGTCAAATAGGGCTACTTATTTCTTAGCCGCCTTGATCATAGAGGTCACGTATTGCAATTCTTTCTATTTAAGAAAACAATTTGTGTCTACTACATGTATTCACCTGAAAAAGCATATCAGGAAATGTTTATAGGACAAGGAAGATAACTCAAATTGCATAAATATCTGTATTCATTTTCTATGGCAAATCCTGTTTACTTTGTTTTATTATTTGTCTTGTTCCTGTCTCTTACCTCGTTTATATTGACGTCAAGATATCTGCCGATTTTTTGTGTATTTTGAATACTATCGTATTGTCGTTTACCTTAAACGTCCTTTTGTATAAATCTTAGCATGTTTTGTTTCGAAGGATACAAACAAGTTTTAAAAAAGCCCCCTTAACTTAAACATTGAAAAGCTTATGAATGAAAAGAGGCTAGCATTATCCTTTAACATTTCTTTCTGCTATATATGGAGTGTATATTTCCCACTTGATACGGTATTCCAGGGCTTGCGTTTCCATCATGATTTCCTTGATAGAGGGTTGTTGCTCGCAAGGTAAAGTTGTTTAAAAGCGACCTTGTAAGCAGCAACTCTCTATCAAAAAAATCACGATAGAAAACGTAACATACTTGGATATATATGCTGAAATGAAAAGCTCAAATAATTATTTTTGCCATACAGCTTTATTCTAAAACGAATTTAAAATATCAAAAAACGTTTACAACTTGGAACAGTTGGTTCAATTGCTCCCTTGTAAGCAGCAACTCTCTTTCAAAAAAATCGTGAGAAGAAACGCCTGTAGTGTCAAGATGTATACGCCATAATTAGTCAGGCGCTGCTGAAATATGGCTGCATAAAAATAAAAATTTAATAATTTGAAAGCTCGAATCTCACTTTAGTCGTGTAGTTTTGATCTCAAGCGATTCGATTAAACAGTAAATGCAGATTTGAGGCACGTTTAATTACAATGCTAGTATCCTAAATATCAATATTATCCTTAACCACATCTCTATGTCAGAACATGTCATTGAATCAAGACTTAGTGTATGATTGTAAGGTCTATTCCCTTGTTATCAAATGCCAATCGATCAAAAGGACGTTATTCTGAAGTTTCTTACAGAAGAACTTTGACTTATACTCTAAATTATATAAATCTTGATTTGCTGAAAATTTTGGCTATTTACAGCTTCGCCTTTTTTTATCTTAAAATTTTTCTAGACAATAGCCAAAAACACATGCAAAGAGAGTACAACTCATTTCAGTGCAAACACTGCTATAAGGGTCCACTTATAATCCGAACATTCGCACTGCCGATATAACTGTAATATTTGCCACTGCCGATATAACTGTAATATTTGCCACTGCCAATATAACTGCCACTGGATAAATATCAACACCATTGAATGTTTTTGATTATGTCGCAAAATATTAATGCCTCGTTTAAATATTATTTATACCCCCTCAAATTCCATTCATTAGTGCTATATTCAATTATAAAAAAGAGCATTTAAATAATATAACGAATACGCCATTTTGACCATTTCAGTTTCATGAACTATTTATTCTGTTGAACCACAATATTATTGTAGAAACTATCCGATTTACTTTTCTGTTTTTAATGTATATATTAAAATGCTCAAAACGATTTTTGTTGTACAAGATCAAAATACATCATTTCATATTTCAAGGAGATGGATATTTGAACGGTAAAATTAAAAGCAAATCTTTAAGCGAAATATATTTTTTTCTCTAATTTTCATTATTGAATAAAATTAATGTGTTCAATATTACAAACGACTTCAACTGAGTTAACACAGATTATATGTTGTAGATACACAAATGAAACTGCGGATATTTTTGTAGAATTTTAGTGAATACGATACTATATTTCATACGATGGAATTACGACTTGCAATAAAGGAGTTGACTTTGTTAATAATGAGATATTTGGTGTTCATTGTATTACTACGATCCAACCTTTAAAAAAACCAGTATCAGACGTTTTATTAAGTTTTCATCTTCATTCAATATCGCATTACGTCCTTTAGATTTATTTCCATGGGTGAACACTTTTTTGAAGAAAGTGCCCATGCTTATAGCCAAAAGGCAAAAAGTTCAGACGGATGAAGATGCAAAATACAAAATAACTCACCATTCCAGAAAAATTAATGGAGAGTTTGAACAAAAGATTTACGTCACAGGTATATTTTAAAGTTGAGAATCGTAGGTATTGTATAACGTTTACATAAAATGTACACGAAACTTCCATAAACAGTACATGAATGCGTAGACTGATGTATGTATTAAACTACAATATAATGTACATGAACACATAACACGGTTGTTTAGCTGCCTATAGTAAAAGCTATTGTTTAATGATTTTTTCCCGTCAAATTCACTTCTTTAAGACATATCTAATACATTCCTTTTAATAAAGATACTATAAAGCCCTGAACTTTCTCTGATTTCATCGTCTCTCTAATATGTTTATAAATTTAACTGCCTAGTCTCTTCAATGATAAATTGTCAGCGCTATCCATTTCCACTGTCATAAACGCCACTATCATTTCTAACAATAATCTGCTTAGGTTGAATACTTTCACTATGAACAGATGGTGTTGTCGGTCCAGTTAATTTATAATTAAAACTTTCTAGACCGCTTGTAATGATCTCTGTTCCTTCCGTGCTAGCATTCGAAACTGAAACTAAAATAATCGGAATGTGTCATCAATAATACAAAAGTAAGAAAAATTTGATGTCATGATGTATATAACTCTGTTGGCATTGTTTGTTATGTAAACGTCGTCGCTATATATATTTGATTTAGTTTTATATACCTTGTTTTCTGGATATATAATTGTCTAATAGATCTACTTGATTTGGCAAGATATATTATCATTACTAAAATTCCAAATATCAAAATAACCAGATTACACAAATAATAAATACATGCATAATAAATTTCAGATATCCTTTAAAATCTGAATGTAATGATATGATAACATATAAACCAAAAGCTCTGAGTCTATGGGTGTTTAGTTCCAAACTACACAATTTTTCATTATTTCCTATTAAGCACAATTGTTAATATTTCGCAAACTTACCACTTCCTACTAGTAAGTTCAGGTTTCTTCGTCAACTTTTCTTGTAATTACATTTTTTATCTGTTGTCATCGATATGTATACCAATTCACCAATTCACCATATTTTTGTAGAGAACCTGGGCCTTTATCATAGGACATTGGCGAACAGTGTGGAAATTCAGAAAAATACAAAGCCTTTCAGTCAACTAGTTTTTATTCAAATAGAATATAGCAGCAGCCAATGTATTGTTATCACTTTGTTCATTCGTTAATAAATATTTAATTTTCAAAATAATTAATAATGAAAATTTCCACATCGAATATATGTTGTTTGGTTGATATTTCTGTTGTAATTGCATATTATCGTCGTAATACTCATCGTGATTTAAAGTTTTTAGTGAAGCTCGTCACATTCATTTTCCGTTTTCTCTTAAGACAACTTTTGAAAACATTCCGTCATAAATTTTCCGTTTTGTTTTTGGCGTATAGTTATGTCTGTCCCTCATTTTATTTTCTTGTTTGTTATTCTTATATCTTTACAACAAAGTAGTAGTAATTACAACAGAAGTAGAAGTAGCACTTGTATCAGTGGTACTAATAGTAGTGTTGATGTGATTTTGTGCATATTTGTAAACAAATATGATGTGAAGACTTACCTTCGGACCCATATCCACAACCGACCTCCTCTGAAAGTGAAAGGTATACTAAAGTTACAAGAGCTTATAAACTATTTATCTTAAAGTGTCAAATAAGAAAATACCGGTTCTTATACTCTACTTAAATTCGTTCCCATGAATATACACGTTTCTAATTGCTCAATAATGAACAACATTGACAAATCTAAAGGACTGAGATGGCACACCAACCAGTTTTATTTTCATATAAAATAGTTTACATTGAATTTCATTCAAAGTTAAAAACACTTGACTTCTTTAATAAAACAGTAACATGCATCTAGAAAATAAAAAATGAATTGTTAGAAAGTCGTATCATGCTTATAAATGCAAACTGTCGATATAATAAACCTGTCGAACAGGTAAGATATAAACTAAACTCAATAAATGAAAAATGTGGGAGAAAAACCTTTTGAGTCGAGAAGACCGGACAACTTGCAAAAATATACGCAAGCAAAATACCTACTCTAAAAAGTACAACAATTATTGACTTACACAATGGTTGACTCGCTTGGAAAGAACATCAATTGCTGACTTGATTCAAATTACTTATGCGATATCATAAAGTTAGACCTACCTGTATTTTGATCTAATCTTTCATCTGAGACTTGTGTCACAGGGTTTAAGCTATGTTCTGTTAGTTGTGCATACCCAATTGTTGAATTTGTATTTAAACTATCTTCATCCAATCTTGGAGCTTGCACGAAAGGCATTTGTGTTTGCTTTTCCATACAATCTGCCTGATGCACATCCTTTGTATTTTCGGCAATCAGTAGTTCTCAGACAATAATGTCAATTCGATCAATATCTGATTGTTCGACTGCCAATACTATATCTTTTTTTTTATCAAAAATTACAATAATGGCTATGGGCAATTCTTCTACTTTGTTAACTTCAATGTCTTTAATATTATGCGGAAATCCGTTGTCACTGCATAATACATCTCGACGAAAATCATTATTATGAGCGGAATCATTGGTTGTCTTTTTGCTTTGATCATTTACATTGTCTTTGTTTACTTCGTTCTCAATATCACCAGCGATTTTATCTTGGATTCCGTTTAGAACATTGTCATTCTTCATTTTGTTATTTAGAGTCGCCGAAACCAGAATTCCTCCTTGTTCTATAACATCTGCATCTAAAAATGGCATCATAATCAGCACACAGAACATCTGCTAGTCTAAGGTTTTATATTTATTTCATAATTTTGGTTTTTCGTTATTTCCTTTAATTGACATATTGTCGTTTTCGAAGTCAAGAAAGTCACTGAAATACAAGATTGTTTAAGGTACAGTTTAATGGCGTGGACTTCAAAGTTTAACATGTTTGAATAAATTTTTCCAGTTGTACATTGTAACGTTTTGTGGCTTGGCCTTGTAGTTTTGTCTTTTAAATTGTCTCATGTTAGTATGTTTTTCTTTTATGAAGTGCAGTTTAAAGGAGTGATCTTTTAGGTTTTGACTTTTTAAATTTTCATATTTTACAATACTTGTTGCGTCATTTAATTTTACCTTGATCTGTCTTATTTCTGTGCTTTCGTAACAATACAAGAAAAAGGACTACGCAAACAACTACAAAAACCTGCCAACACTACAACACTGCAAAATTTATCAATATATAAACAAATGTTAACAAGCAATCTACAAATTTAAAACTGTTAAATTCGTTATCTTTTATCCAAATTATTATTGAATTGATTACAAATAATGAAAATTGAAAGTAGAAAAAAGGGTAGAAGCCCTCACCCTTTTTCAAGAAAAATGTATGAATATTGAAAAACAAAATTGTACATCTGTTTACAGAAAGCAAGAAAACTATTCTTTCTTTGAAAGTTCACTTGTCTTAAAAGGATAAGTTTTAATATCCAAGTATGTACTTTTAAATACACATGCACATTTTACACATCCAAATGTGTAAGTGCTTAAGATGGAAGTTTGTCAAGTTTTCAGAACTTGTTTCTCTGTATATTTCATATAAAACAACATTTTATAAACGTACATTTTAATCTTATTGATTTGTTATCATAATGTATATTAAGATTTCTTCGGAATAATATCAAGGCTTTGTAGTAAGCTGAATTCAGTATTCTAAAGTTAGCTAGAGCACTCAACGTAATTTCATTTTATATTAGAAGATAATATATTGACCCTAAAATCTCTGAATACTATCTAAGTACTCAATTCTCAAAAAATCATCAACTATTTGTCACAAATATTTGTCTTACTCTCATTTGTTCTATTAAAACATTGCCAACACGGATAATTATATCTTAGTTGAGAACAGGACGCCTAATAATTTATAAAAGGTACTCTGATAAAAAAAAAATATCGTTTTCTTTACCTGACATCATAAAACTGTTTGAATATTTGATTTACAAAATATATGTTACGACTGGTAGATTTACGATCTTTCCATATCTATAAAGCAATATTCCAACCGTACTTGAATATATTGTATATTTCTCCAAGATGATATGATATTCTAGGGCCTGAATTTAGAAACATGATTTCACTGACAGAGGGTTGCTGCTTACAAAGAGGCTATTAATGAAGGGTCTTTTTTAGGGGTACCCAAGACTATGAAAAAAATAGAATTGTCTCGTTTAATTTATAATTTTTTTACAAAATATTTACTTTGACCTGTTGACAAAAATATGAAAATTTAAAGACATTTGAACCACACAATTTACAGGATTAATTTTAATTGGATATATAGCAGTTTGACAAACACAAATTAGTTATGCCGATGTTTTTTTTTCTTTTTATTGTCTCACAAATTTTCTCTTAGTGCAAGTTAGAGCTAAATTTAAAGTATAAAACACTTGTGTATTGTTGAAAATTGTATGTAAATTTTAGTTGTTGGTTGTTTAGTTAAACGATATGATAACTAGAGTGTAATACCTTGAAAAAAAACTTTGGTATACAACAAGTAATGTTCTAAATTAATGTTCTAAAAAAACTTAAATACGTAATAGGTGATTACTATAAATTCTATATGAAATGAAATGCTCTTTTTTTATGAAACGGTATTAGGTGAGTCATTACTCAAAGGCGGAATAATGTTGTGATATATATACTGATGATTTTAAGGTAGACGGAACGCGTCTGTCTTCTTATATAAGTTTGGTATCTTTGATTAATTTTAAAAATCATATTTAGAAATTTTTTTATCTGTTTCAAAAATCATTCACAGAGAAAATTTGTATTCTTACACTGCAATTAAAGAATTTGAAGATGTTTTTTCAATTGAATTTGGAGTCTGTGCTCTTCCGTGTGTTATTCCGCCTGTTGAATGAAAAAAAAACAAAAGAATACTTTGGATTAAATGCGATGGCAATACAGTACAACTTTAAGTATGAAAAGAAAATCTTTACATCTGTTTATAGTACGGATGTGCAACAACGAAAAGTCTTAAAATTTCTCTGGGAAGGCTTTAAGATAATAATAATAATAATAATAATAATAATAATAATAAAAATAATAATAATACTTATGATATTAATATAGCTGTTTCGGTTCTTGTACATCGTTGGCTTACCCATATTATATTCGGTTTGAGCGTTCCTGGTGAAGGTAAATCCACAGAAGCGTTCGGACGCATGCAATTTAAACGGCGTTTTTATTATTTTTTTTTTTTTTTTTTTTTTTTCACACATCTCTTCACGTTCAAAGAGAGTATCCATTCTGAATCATTTATCGGTCGCCATCGTTAATTTATCAATCGATATCATGTGATTATAACACATAATTGAACTGTATGTTTGACTCCATCGAGTATCGGTTTTGTTTTTAATTTGCAGTGTTTGGTGTTTGGTGTTTTGTTATTTTATGCATAATTGGTATGGTTTCCATAACATGTTGCTAATGGCAATATATGTGTTCAGAAAATCAACATTTAAGAAACTTGATAAATCTAGATACTATTTTCCAAACGTTGTTTTTTTGTTAACAAAATCAATTGTTATTCCACACAGGAAGTTTCATATTTAAAAATTATCAAACAAATGCATTTCAATGTATAAAATTAACAAATTATATTTATATATAGAACCTTAAATGCTCGATAAATACTAAAACAAAACTCACAAAGTACTAATTTACATCTCATAGCATAAAAGATACGATCAATCCTGTAGAAGAAAACTTTGATGAACAGAAACTGTATTACTTTTGTCCTGCTTCCGTTTTTGTGGCAAACGTACACGGTAACGACGCGACTAACAAAAACATATGAAATGATACGATTGGATGAGAATGAATTCGTAATGGTCATATTATTTAGTTTAAAAAATCATTAAGACGCACAATAAATTAAGCAGAAGGTACGAAAACGCCATTTTTCCCATCATGGAATTTCAAAATCGAAGAGTATTAATTTTTCAGATTACATTATCCAGATATTCACAAGACATTAATCATATGTTAGCATTTACATTTTTGAATTTGTCTTAAAAATTTTCCATGAGTGCTTTCAATTTCATTCATTTTATGAAATAGAATTAATTAGATATTGAATGCATAGCCTCATTTGATATCTTCTCCTTTATATTTAGATATAAGCCCCATCGGACTATTTTGCTAATATATTTTAAGATGTTAATGTGGATATAATGTCTACATAGGTAAGATTCGTCTCATATACTATTTTGTAACAAAATAAGCTAGGCATGTTTGTGTCGTTAAACTGACAGCACAACTGCTATTTTATCACGTTAGTGTTAAATTTATAACAGCCTATTCATTCATTTATGAATAAAATTAAAGAAGAATTGCTGATAAATTGTTCAGCTTACTGTGACATTTTATTTTAGTATTTAGTTTTATTACAGTATAATGAATCAATGCTTAATAATGAATAACTTTACCTTTTGATTGTGTTTTACCAATACTTGGAACCAAAGTAACGATTGCTTCTCTTTCCGTCAATGGAAGGATCTCAATTCTGGTTGTAACATATTGCCGACTGTAAGTCATGATAAAAGTTTCATTATTACTAACTAAAATAGCCTAGATTTTCTATTTAAGGCTGTTTCCTTCTCGTATATTGAAGTAAAAGAGTGAAAAGCTACCGAGCGGGATATCAAATATAGAAGTCGCAAAATCAGACAATACCTTTATAAAAAGTCAAACGTCCCAAACAAATCAGCTCAAATGTATTTCAGAAAGACTCTACTATTGCATCAAGTATGATACGATTTTTATCCATTCGAGACAGTTAAAAATCGCGAGACTGACCAATGAATAACTGAGATCAAACGAACCACACATTAATTAAATAAAAATAATCACCAGACCAGGAAAAGGATAAAGCTGGTAAGAATTAGAGAAAAACAATTACAAGGACAATTATTTATTTTCCAATAATTTGTATGTACTATAGATTATCTATTGAAATTTCAAAGTTTTAAATATTGTTATTTTGTATGACAAAATTTGAAAATTTAAATGTTGTAATATGATGTAGCTTTGAATTTCTTCAGAAACTTCCGTGAAAGATAAATTGTACTATTACCATACAAGTTTAAAGATACAACTCTATTATTACCAGACATATTGGAAATATAGGACTTAGGTATTACAACTGTTTAGTCCATTTTTGGTAATATCATTTTTGCGTGGCTCGACATTTATACATCCCGCCAAATGTGTTATTGTGATATGGACATTTTTATATTCTTGTGTGTCATTTTCGCTTATGTACTTTGTCTATAGACTGTCTATATGCCATTTTGTTTTTCTTTGTTGAAATAGTTATTTGTTTTTATATGATTAAGATTATAAAACAATGCTGACGTCTGTACCCCAATTTTGGACATTGTTACCTATTATGTCTGTTTGTTTTGCTCACATACTGCTGTAAATAGAATGGAATTCTATGCGACTGTCATACAAGTGAAAGGTTTAGCTAGCTATGTAACCAGGTTTAATCCACGATTTTCTATATAAGCAAATGTGTGTACCAAGTCAGGAATATGACAGTTGTTTTCCATTCGTTTGATGTGTTTGAGCTTTTGATTTTGCCGTTTTGAATTTTCCTTGGAGCTCGGTAATTTTGTTATTTTACCTTTTTCATTAATTTTGATAACAGCAATATAATTTGTTTTCATTCGTTTTAAGGGTTAATGTTCAAATGATTATTATATAAACATACAAACCTTTTTGTTTTCGTAGACGTAAAAAATCTTTGTGTTACCTGAGTGCTGAAATCAAACAATTTTACAGTATACTAGCTGCTATGACAAGGGTATTATATATATATATTTGTTGATGGATGTTACAGTTTACCGAATACAGAGTTCAACGTACACAAAATTGAATGTTCATTGCAATGGTAAACTTTAAAAGAAACTGATACAATACTACAAATTTTGTGTCTAAATGTAAAAATTAATAGTCCATTAAGTGATAGGTAGGAGTAGTTCAATTTCGATATGCAGGGGGAAAACTGAAAGAGAGGAACAGTCATTAATACGATAATTTTCTGAAAATTTACTGTTCCTGACATGTCAAAAGCATTTAATCCAATAAGGTTTCTTATTCCAATGCATAAATAATCTTCAATTTTAGTTATACATTTTTCTTATTCATTCTAAGAGCATAGGTTCATGTTTAATTGATTATTATATAATCATACAAACCTTTTTGTTTTTGTAGACGTAATAATTATTTGTGTTACCTGAGTACTGAAATGAAACAATTTTACAGTGTACTAGTTAAGAAATCGGAAAATCATTGGAAAGTGGAAATCATCACGTGAGACGAATTGTAGTTTAATGTGGATTATTGAGTGACAAAACATCATAGAAATACTAGTATCTGAAAGTTAAAATTAAAGAACTTCGCAAGATGCTTTTTCTTTTTGTCTTTGAGAAGGTTCTGTCGGAATTCTGCTTCATACGAATAAAGATATAAGTCCAAATCTGTCAGTAGTGGTGCATTTTAAGTACCCATTGGAATAAATACATTGCACTGATTGCCTGCTGAAATATCCACCCACAAACTGAACAAATATGTTGTCGATAAAAAAATAGTTTATTTGTTGTGCCAATTAGTGTGGTTCTTCCTAAAGTAAGAATGTCATATACATGATTCACATACATATAAAAGAAACTGGTAGTGAAACAGATTTTACAGCGTGCTACATCTCCAGCTTGTACATGTCAGAGAGGCAATTCCGTTGCAATAATGTATCTAGTAGCAAATAAATCCTAAGTGATGCTATGTATTCAATCATACCAAACGTAAATGTAAAAAGTAAAATCACAAAAATACTGAACTCCGAGGAAAATTCAAAAAGGAAAGTCACTAATCAAATAGCAAAATCAAAAGCTCAAACACATCAAACGAATGGATAACAACTGTCATATTCCTGACTTGGTACAGGCTTTTTCTTATGTAGAAAATGGGGGATTGAACCTGGTTTTATAGCTAGCTAAACCTCTCACTTGTATGACAGTCGCATCAAATTCCATTATATTGACAACGATGCGTGAACAAAACAAACAGACACAATAGGTAAACATGTCAAAAATAGGGGTACAGCAGTCATCATTGTGTTATCATCTTAATCACCATAAAAACAAACAAATGTAACAAAGAAGCACAAAAAATTACTGCTAATGGTAAAATGGTAAAATAAAAAGATAATTATTTGATGTTTTAAAATTAATCAACAAATAATTTCAGTAGTTGATCAAAAGAAAAACAACATTTATTCATTTGCATTGTCTTTTAAATTGCAGGTATTTTTCCTCTATTGTTAAAGAGTTGTCTCTACAAAGTTATCGCTAGCTAGACTCAATACCCATCACTAACTACTTCGAGCTTTTTTAATTTTTACTAAATATGATTGAACAATGAAACTTGATGTTATTTTTTTTTAAATATTTTGTAAAATTTTACGTACCTTACAACTGGAACCTGGGAAGGAAAACATGGACCACATCCGGATTCATTTTTCCATGTTCCTGCTGGACATTGGAGACATGCTGAAATATGAACGGTTAGGATTGGGCTAACATGAATGCATCTTTGCCGATTGTTTATTTTACTTACTATAGGTTATTTGTTAACATGATTTATATAAAATGATAGGTGCAATAAAAACTAATTGTTAGGCTAAGTAAATCCATGTGTACATTTCAACCTGTGTAAAAACTTGAATAAAATATTACTGGTCATATTTTTAGGGGCAAAAATGGAAAATCTGTTCATTTTCCCTTCTGCATCTCATCTTTTACTAACACTATATAATAAAAATGAATGTATCTTACCCTTAACGAGGACAGTATTTCTTTACAGTCAATAATTTATGATTTATTAAGGATTAAAAATATAGAAAAAAATTACTACGGCAGTAAAGTAATGACTTACTTCCATTTGAAAGCATAGTTTCACCCAGACCACATTCACGATATGTACAGGCACATGGGTTGCCAAAGTAACACTTGTCTGTATCACACTTACAAAAATCTGCGCCAGAACTACAATCTTTTGCGCTGTTTTCACGACTAGGCTCTAAATCTAAAATATTTTAAAGAATGCAGGTACATATTTGGTAAATAAATGGTACGGCATAAACAGATCAGATTGCTTCAATTTACTTTGAGTTATATTTTATTATTACGAGAAGCAAATAAAATTAAAAACCAATTCAGAGAACAATTGAAGGTCTTTCCACTCAAATTCATTTAAGATAAGAAGATTTTGAGAGAAAAAAGTATGTTCGGGCTTAAATGATAGCTTATCACATACTGATTCAGAAAATACAATGTTTGAGGCACTTTTTTCATCAGTTAAGGTAGATAAAAAGCCGCTTCCGGTTAAATCAAAGTCACTTCCGGTGTCAATTATTAGCTTAATTAACTCTGATTGTAAAAATATATAGTTTACATATATTTTTGCTTTAAATAAGGGAGATGAATTGCCGCTTCCGGTTAAAAAAGGTCACTTCTCGTTGACATTTGCAAGGTCATATGTTTACTTACATAATTCAAAGATTCTAAGGCTTAATAATGTATAAATATGAATCTACAGCAAAGGTCAAAAACTAGAACGTCAATTTTACCTTTGACCTTGAACGAAATTTCAAGGTCATAAAGCAAGGACCTCAAATCAAATGACCCTTAGTCTCCCTTGTGTAAGGGAAATGAGTTCTATCCCAATACGGCTTATTTTGAGTATTAGAGGGAAGGAAACTCCCATCAAATGTCAAAGGCTTTAAACCAAAATATGTATGTTACGACATGTCGCAAATGTTTGTTTAGTAAACATATTTTGTCGATATCTTGTACGGTTTCTGAAAAGAAGCAATATTAAGCAATATTAAGCCAAGATCAAAATTAAGAACCTGACCTTGACCTTTGACCTTGACCCCATTTTCTTTTTGGTGGACCAAGGACCTCAAATCAAAAGACCCTAGGTCTCTATCATCTATGGTTTACCAGTTACAATTGCATTTCACTTGTTTTAAATACAGAAGGAGAAATAACTCTCATATGGAGTCTCCGGAACGCTTCGCTCAAAATTGTTCTTAAGATTCTGAGGATATAACGAGCAAATTGTTGAAATAATTTTGTCGTAATCTTTTACGGTTGCAAAGGAGATGCGCACACAAGAAAAACAGTGTTAGGGGAGATAACTCTTACAACAAAAAGTGTTCAGTTAAACAGGGTCAGTTTCAAAAGCGCAATAACTGTTCGATATCATATATTTTTGGAACCAATGTCAAGTAAACTGTTTAAAAATACCGGAAATGACATTTTTTAAACCGGAAGTAACAAATTATCTGCCTTTTTTCAAACAAAAGTGTATAGAAACCATATATTTTTAGAATCAGCATTCAGTAAGCTATCATTTGACACTCGAAATTACATTTTAAACCGGATTTTAATATTTTCATTTCAAAATGTATCGTTTCGGGTGGAAATCATTATTATTATTCTTTTCTTCTTCCGCCACATTTTTTTTTTCGGTGGATAGTGGTTTCGCAAGATGTCGCTTAGATTTTTTATTTCCACCCGAAACGATATATTTTGAAATGAAAATATTAAAATCCGGTTTAAATATGTAATTTCGAGTGTCGCTTCGGTCAAAATTATTCTCAATATCCTTAGGATATAATGAGCAATTTGGTGAAATAAATTTGTCCTTATCTTTAACGGTTGCGAAGGAGTAGTGCGCACAAGAAAAACAGTGTTCGGGGAGATAACTTTTACAAAGTAAAGTGTTCGGTTAAACAGTGTCAGTCTTAAAAGCGTATAAACTGTTCGATATCATTTACCAAATATCTAAGCGACATTTTTTGAAACAAAAATAACTCGCAAGAAAAAAAAAAGGCGGAAGAAAAAAAAATAATAATCAGAACAAAATCAATAGGTCTTTCCACAGAAAAGTAGAAAGACCTAATTAAAATATCGCCAAATTTTCGTTGAACTCAATAGCTACATGTTTGCACTCGACTCCAATCTTTATTGACTCTGATTGTCAGCTTTCCTACCGAAGGTCGGTGGTTCTCTCCGGGCACTCCGGCTTCCTCCACCAATAAAAACTGACCTCCACGAAATAGCACAATAGTGTTGAAAGTGGCGTTAAACACCAATCAATATAAGATCTTTAGATACCAGTATATGTGTCCTATTCCGAACTGTGACATTGAGACAAACTGTGGATTATCATGGCGGGTGATACATGGATATCAGAAAACGCTTACCCTTTCAACGCACCCGGTTTAGCTCCTTTGGAATTCATGCGATTACCTCACTTTTTGTTTAGTACCTTGTTTGGTTTTTTTTTGTTGATCGGTTTACGAGATTTGAAAATCGGTAAACAACTGCTGCCGTTATTCAGCATATATGTTGCTTTCCATTTAATGTTTATTTTCAGCTTTATATTGTCTATTCCATGTGGTTGTGGTCGTTGATATACAGGTCAAAAATGATTCAGGGAAATGAATTACCGGGGTAGTATTTTAAGTTTGTTTTAAACTACATAGATGTAGTCAATTGTATATCTAAATGTTTGTCACCTATATAGGTTTCCTTTTTGGATATACACAATTCATGTGAGTTATGTAATCCCAAAGACATATTATGTACACCGTTGTAAAGATTTTATTTTTATTTTATTTATGAGTGGGATGGCTTTTTATATGAATTTTCCCGATTATGTTTGGTCTGTCACCCTGTGTTTGTACTGCAAAGTAAATGTGAAACAGTGTGTCTACTTTCGCCCTTTAGACAACAGAATAGGGAAGGTTCCAGAATTTATTTTAAGCAGTAACAAAGCTACTATTTCTCCGAGTGAACCGATTGGGATAATGTCGACGTTTGTTCGCCAAAATATTTTTTTTTCTTCAAATTTCTGAGAGCATGCGCCTGTAGCTAGCCGGTCCCGTTTGAATCCGCCCAATGCACAAGTCAGTGTCCCCATTCTCCCTTAAGACCATACACCAATAATAAATGTTGAATAGATACCTTCTGGACGACATTTATCGACATTTTTATTCTTAAAACACTTGGTAAGAGCCGTGTCCATGGTAGATTGTATATAATCAGGCTGGACAAGTCCTAATGGACACGATGTACAGATGTCTTTTGTGTATTCAGCTACGCATGGTAAAATTTCATGTCCTAAACGAAAATGTTAAATATGTTATAAAAGCAAACATTTAATCAATTCATATGATACAAACAAGACTTGCGCGTCCTTATTTCCATGAAGACACGTTCTGATTATGTGTTAAAGTTTGGTCAATTGCTTAGGAACTATTTATTGGTGATACACTCTTGTTGCCAAATACATATAGTTGTTTCGCGTATTTCTACATATAATTACGAAGTAAAATCAGCTGGTTTTTGTGTTTTTGTTAATATGAGCCTGTTTGAAACCCGTCACAAAGAGTTTTTTTTAACTAGCTATAGTTGAAATTAGATAAAAGGGATACAGGAAAAGAAGTAAACAACTGAGAACATTGGAACGACAAATTTCGAAATAAGTTGTAAATTCTTCTTATTTTTATATTGACTTTAGTTAAGATGTCAAAGTCGGGGTATAAACCCGCTGTATTTGTATGCACCTGTCCTAAGTCAGGAGCCTGTTGTTCAGTGGTTGTCGTTTGTTGTCGTGGTTCATAAGTGTTTCTCGTTTCTCGTTTTTTATATAGATTAGACCGATGGTTTTCCTGTTTGAATTGTTCTACACTAGTCATTTTTTGGCCCTTTTTATAGCTTGCTGTTTGGCGTGAGCCAAGGCTCCGTGTTGAAGGCTGTACTGTCTCATTAGCACTCATTCCACATCTTCTTATTTATATAAACAGTAAATTCGACCAAGCTTAAAGAATACAACTCTTTGAACTGACTGGAACGTTTCTAGTCAACGATTTTCATGAATAAATTCTAAGTTTCTAAAAAAGACTGATTATTTTAATTCTGTGTCACTTGATACTTACAAATGTATTTATAGAACTAATACAGCAAGTGCATTCCTGTATTAATAAGTTACCTCCCTTAACTCAGGGACTTCCATGTTTTTCTCTTACTGAATTTCTTGTATGTTGTTAAGATTTAAAGGGTGAAGTTAAATTTATCAAAACATTAGTTTGACTCCGCCAAAAAGACATGTGCCTATCAATGTCACAGGTCGGATGCTCATCATTGGTCATCACATGTTACATATAATGTTTCTTTTTCATTATTTGGAGAATTAAGTGTTTGAAAGGGTTTGTAAAATTTATTCAAATTTTTTTACTCGAGGCATTTAAGGGCTTTGTACATTAAATATTTACTTGTCTTTTGGAGAAGACTGTAGGTTGGTCGCTAGAAAGTAAGCGTACTTCCAATCCTGGGTGTAGAAGTTCTGATACATGATATGTACAGGTGTAGCTGTTTTAAGTCGACTAGTCTGCTTATTCCGTCGAAAATGAAATACATGAGAAAACCATTCATGTAATGCTTAATTGAATGTATTTTTTACACTAGCGCAAAAGATTCAGGTTGGCAAATCTTTTATTTTAGTAATTTGTGTCATGGGATTGCTGTCTAACTGATGCATACCAATCGTCTGTTTTTTCTGTTAAGCATAAAATAATATATTAAAGCATATGGTGCATAGTGTACTGGTGTAAGGTGTAATGGGGTATAGTGCATGGTGTAATTAGGTATAGTGTGTTGAGTTTGGTGTATGGTACATGGTGTATAGTTGTTTCGCGTATTTCTACATATAATTACGAAGTGAAATCAGCTGATTTTTGTGTTTTTGTGAATATGAGCCTGTTTGAAACCCGCGACAAAGAGTTTTGTTTAACTAGCTATAGTTGAAATTAGATTAAAGGGATACAGGAAAAGAAGTAAACAACTGAGAACATTGGAACGACAAATTTCGATATAAATTGTAAAATTTTCTTATTTGGTACATGGTGTATGGTGTTTGGTGTTTGGTGTAATGGGATATAGTGTATGGTGTATGGTGCATAGTGTACCGGTGTCTGTTATATGTGAGAAGTTTACACCATTCAAGTAAAAAAATTGAAAAATGTGGTATGATTGCCAATGAGACTATTTTCCACCAGAGACCAAATGTAGAAGAAATAAACAACTATAGGTCACCGTATGGAATTCAACAACGAGCAAATCCCATTAAGGACTATATTTGCTGTTTTTCTTAATATCATGCTTGATAAAAATACAAGAAAATATTGATAAACGTCATTTATACAGCAGCTAATTTAAGTAGTTTATATTATAATTACGCATATGCTTATGCATCAGTACAAAACTCTATGTTTATCAATCTTATAAGTGCTATATCATTGACTTACCGGGTGGACAGTTATATATGGGTTTACAGTGCTTTATCGCACCACCAATGTCATGTGTAATATAGACTTTAGAATTCTCACAAAAGTCAACCTACAATTCAAATATTTTCGTATTTATTTATTGCAATATTCGGTACCTATATTACCTTTGGTTATATCATTGAAAATATTGGCCCTAAGATGCAAACAACAGTTAACATTGATTAAAACTAGTACTGCCTGCTTGCGATAACATTCTTGAATTCACTATTCTGTCAGTCCGGCACTGGGTGGTACATTTATCGGTAAATTTCTTATCTATGTTTAGCGCACCCAATGAAAATTATCTAAGAAACAGGCGCAACGCGTATCTAACAAATGTATTCCTTAAGTACTTCTCTGATATGAAGAAATATATTGAAAGTTATTATAGAATATCCGATATCCATTTTCCACTGAAAGGTTTGTAACATTTTTATACTTTTTTGCAACATTGACTTTTATCATAACATGCAATAACGTTTTAATAAGTATCGTACTAAATAGGAATGCAATAACTGTCACTGAACGTGTAGCAACTAACAATCATTCAATGATAGATTTACATACAAATTAACTATTAGCAACAAAGGCCAAGAGAGTAGACTACGGAAGACGTGGATGGTTTTTATTGAAACATAAATTATACATAATGTTGAAAAAACAGCATAAGAAGCAATTCGCACCATTTGTAACAGCTAACAAAGAGGATTCGTATAATTAGAAACTACTTACCAACAATAAACCAATTACTAAAAAGTACAAGATCCACATGATTTCTATTAGTGTTATAGAACCTCTAAATACAATAATCTACAACGTTTCACATAGATGGTGGTATAGAAGTTTTACTATCCTTTTCCTTACTTAACGGTTGTAGTTTTATAAGTGTATTTAAGTGTTGAATTAATGTACACATAAATATCCACTTCAGTAGGGTTCCGAAAAATATTTTGCTTGTATGACATCAGCACTAGAGTGTATGGTTTTTCTGCGAAAAAAATATTCTAATTGCATTATTAAAAACTTATTTTTTCGATTGATGAAGAAGATTTAATTACTTATTCAGCGCTAAGGTCTAAGGATATTCTTGCTCTAACTTATGATTAATTTGATGTACGTAATTGATTAGAAATGAGATTTCAATTTTGTATATAAATAATCTCATTGTTTTATCCATGCGATCTCCAACAATTATATTTAGAATTTGTTGTCGTGTCTTTAAAAAGTTCCGTATTTAGTTCAAGAGTTAATTCAAATAAAATGTCCTTTTTCAAGTGGAAGTCAAAAACAAAACAAACTATAGAAAATCACGATTATGTGGAAAATTCAATAATTAGTCATCGTATTTTTTCGTTTTTAATACAGTTTAATAACTTTCTTTCTTTTCTTCGTATTAGCTTGCTATTATAAGGAACACCCCTTAACGGGTAATATTTAAAAGTTTATTACGGGGAAGAGAGGTAAAATATATTACATGAAGGTACAATCCAATGATGGTGCGCTATACATTGGTAGTGAAATATAAAAATCTTAAAATATACAATGATATATATATAAAAAGGATAAAAAGAACCTTCAGAAGGTCAAATAAACCAAATATTTAGTCATTCATTTTACCTGCAAATAGATTTTTTTATATACATATATATAAAAAAAAACAAAAAAAACAAAACAAAAAACAAAAAAAAACAGTTGCAATAATATTATATACAGAAGCTACAATTAAAGTTCAAAATTATCCGATATTTCACTTTTCTAATGTCAGACATCTAGCTTTTGTAATAGAGATAATCTGTGATAATGTAACTTGAAGCAGAAGTGTTTTGTGAGAGTTTCTAGTTGAAGAGTTGACTCTTCTTTGCATCCTAGTTATGCAGTGTATGTTGTGCAGTCCAGTATGAGTTGAGTAACTGTTAGCTTATTGTTAAACAGTAATTTCCATGTTCCGGGAGGAGAGTTTTCTGTTACAAATTGTTTAATAGGAGTGAAGTATTCTTTTCTCTCATTACTTAGAATAGGACATGTTGTTAGGACATGTAAGATATCCTCTATTTCCCTGTGGTACAGCAAGCAGATAGGGTCAATGGTATATTTGCTGAACTTATGTTTGTCGGCCTGCACCATGTATGTCCCGGTGAGCATCCTTACTATAGTTGTAGCTTTTCTGATTTCTATTAGGTTTTGACCTACTTAGTCCCAAACAGGATGTGTGGTTTCTGCAATACCAAAGTTGAGGTTCAGAAATTTAAGAGATGACATTTGATGAGCTTCATCTTTAAGTTTAAGAATCCAAAATGTTGAGATTTCTGTTTTTACTCATTTCTTCCAGGAGAGTTTTGATGGAATAGCAGTGTTTTTGCCTAGAATGAATGGTAGGTTGTATTTTGATAGTAATAAGGCAGTTTGATAAAAGAAGCTTTTGTTGTTGTCATAGTTCACCGCGATTTGTCTATTAATGATTTCTTTAATTTTCTTGTTGGAGCAGGTTGTAAGGGAGTGTAGAAATATTAATTTCCTCGTGTGAATTTCTGCTTCTACCGGTAGAACTCCAAGAAGCAAGTATACCGCAGGTTTCGCTGTCCTCGTGGCAAGAGCATGTATGGAACGCAGTGTACCAATATTAAATCTCTCCAATATCTGAATTTGAGTTTTTGTTAGGGAAAAGATTTCCAGACCATATTGTAGTCTTGGTAGCACGTATGTTCTGTATACTGTGTAGGAGACTTTTGGGCTTAGCCCATTTGTACCATGAAGTCCTGAATTTATAAGGGCATATTTTGTTCTTCGTGAAGATTTTACACGGTCTTCTTTATTTTACTTCAATTTCTATTTTGCTTGATCTTTTTAGGCCTAAATGGGTAGTTTCTTTTGAAAGTTGAATTATATTATCTGATAAATTCCAGGTATTTGTGCTGTGATTCTTAGCAGATCCATAACAAATGACTTTCGATTTTGTTGGATGAATATTATAATGATGTTGATTTGCATATCTCCCAATGGTATTTAACATTATTTGTAGTTCTTATGGGTTGGAACTTATCAGGACAATGTCATCAGCACAGGTAGGCGTTCCACAGTATATGTTTCCAAGACTAAAGCCTATTGCGTTTTTCTCTAATTCTACTTATAGATCCTCTACAAATATCTTATATAAATGGGTTGACAATATTTCACCCTGCCTGACTCCTTGAAGTATATTGAAGCTATCGCTAAGTTCTCCTTGCCATTTGACTTCGGTGTTAAGTCCAGAGTATAGATCTTTAATAACAAGCCACAGATCTGGGTGAATCTAGTAATTTATCATGAAGTATCAAATGCTGGACTACATCAAAGGCGGATTGTACATCAACAGTAGCCGTTTTTCCGTTCACATTTGCATTCTGATATAATAAGACTTGCAATAAGTGGGCATAGCCCTTCTGTAAATCCAAATTGAAGATCAGTGTTAGGAGTAATACTGAGCTTGCCAAGAATACATAGTTCATGGAGTTTAGAAATTACAGGGGTTACAGTGATTCCTCTATAGCTGGATACTAGACATTGGGTTTTTTCCTTTTTTAGTACTGGAATTAAAATTCAAGACTTGAATTCAGTACTGCTCTGTTAATGAGGATATTATTGAATACATTTGTGAGAGTCGGTGTAACTATTTCTTTGGCAAGTTTTAAGTGTTCTGCACATAGGCCGTATTCATCAGGGGATTTGCCACTGTTTAGGTTGTCTATAGCTTTAGAAATGTCATCTTCTTTGTAAGGTTCTATGTTTGATGGTTTATTATGTAGAACTTCTTCCACGAGTCGCTGCCTTATTTGGCATAGTTCCAGATATGAGTTGTCATAATTTGTTTCTTTTGGGATACTGAGGTCTTCGTAGTATTTTGCAAATGCCTTTCTCTGTCTAGCAGGATTAAATTCTAACTCTCCTTCTACATCTATACCTGTTGTATTTGTTCTAGGTTTGGATCTATTCCTATTGATTAGTTTGTAAAATAATTCTGTGGATGGATTTTCCATAATTTGCTGGTATATATTTAATCTATCTTCAGCATGTTCCTTTCTTTGCTGACTACGGATATTTTTCTTTTCTGCTTTTAATTTTTTCCTGATAGGGTGATCCGGGTGTTTACCTTCATATTTCCATTTTGAGTACAGTTGTTTACAATTTTTTAGATTTTTTTTAACTCTAGGTGATGCCTTCCATTTTGGACCTTTCAATTTAGTGGGTTTGCTTGGAACTGCTTTGCTTGAAGCTGTTAGTAAGGCATCAGTGACCTTTTGAATGCTATTGGATGGTTTTTGAGTCAATTGTAGCTTTGATATTTTATTCTGAACAGATTCTATGTATAGAGGAAGATCAGTGTCTGGTCCCATTGAAGCTTATGAACTGTTTGAATTTCTTGATTGGTTTTGTTTACACAAGTTGGGATGACAATGCTAGTAGTCACTGTTACTGGCACATGTGCTGAGACATTTGTAGGTGAATTATTCCAGGTGTATACTTTTTAAACAGATTTTCTTTAGAAGAGAATATATAATCTATTTCGGAGCTTGATTGTCCTGAATGGTGGAAAAAGGTTTTTCTTTATCTTTATCAGCGGTGAGGTTAAGTTCTTGGCCAAATTCCTTTAGTAATTGATCATGCTTGTTGTTTCTTGTTTGTAAATTTGTCCCATTCAAATCTCCACATAATATAATAGCATGGGTATTCAGATATTTTATAGCTATGTTGTGTATGAGGTCCAGACATTCTTCATATTCGTAGGACGAGTCTTTATCCATAGTACGCATATAGACATTTATTAGACACACATCCACGTCTGGTGAGATTACAATTGCTATCACCCTCTCATTTCCGTCAGGTAGCTTTTGGATTTGGCTGTTCCACACGAATGTTTTAATTTAGTTTTTATACAATTAAGTTAATCTGAGAAAATAGTGCAATCAGAATTTTTTTTATGTGTGTTCAATATGGCGGTTGTGTGAGCTTTAGGACAAAATCTCTTTTCAGTTGAACTTGATTAGTATCTTTTCGATAAGTAAGAGCGTACCTGATGAAGTTTATTTTAGAAACACGTGTTGTCACGAGCGTAACTGATGAAGGTCATTCCAGAACCACGTGTTGTTACAAGTTAACCTGATGAAGGTCATTCCAGAAACACTGATTGTCACGAGTATTGTACCTTATGGAGGTCATTCAAAAGACACTTGTTGTTACGACTGAACCTGATGAAGTTCATTTCAGAAACACGTGTTGTTACAAGCGTTCCAGATGAAGATCATTTTAGAAACACGTGTTGTTACGAGTGAACCTGATGAAGGTCATTTCAGAAACACGTGTTGTAACAATGTAACAATATCAACTTTCTATTAAACTTTCACCATTACTAACAGTTATATCCATCAAATAAGTGAAAGCAATAGACACACCTGTTTCGTGAAAAGCCACCGGCAAAATTGTTTTTTCTTATTCAGGAGTCAGATCCTATTTTGTTGGAAACTGCTAGTAGAAAGGGCAATGGGGACAAATACTTTTTCAATTTTATTCTAAAAAAAATATAAATAATTATAATGATAACAGTAATACTATGTCTGAATCTAAAAAGTTAATCTAATCCAAAGGTAAAATATCCGTCATTTAAAACTTCATAGAGAAATAAAGCCAAGACGTCTTTAGAACAAACGAAAAAAAACAAAAAAAAACTGCCCAAGAATGAACCGAAAGTTGGAATCAAACGATTTTAACGTCTATGAAACTCAACAGCACAACTGACATATTAACATTAGCGGTACCCGAGGAGCATTTTGACAATAAATGTTTCTACAGTGATGCTCCAGTTGAAAGACCAAAACTCATTAAAAAATTGAAGAGCTCATAAAACAAAAAAACAAAAAAATAGCCCAAGTATGGCGAGGAACCAGAGCATTGCAAGAGGATATA